GTTGGACATCCAGGCCGAAAGCACGATCGACTCCCTCAAGCTCTTGATACAGGACAGGGAGGGCGTCCCCCCAGACGAGCAGCGCTTGATCTACGCAGGGAGGCAGATGGAGCCGGGCCGGAAGCTCAACGAGTACAATGTCCAGGACGAGGTGATGATATTCGTGACATTTCGACTCCATGGAGGCATGCAGAACGTCGACACCGAGATGGCCGAGGACACGGAGGACACGAACACAGGCCTCACGCAGGATATGGCCACCTCGGGCCTCACGCAGACGCTCAACGCCCTCGGCATGGAGGACTCTGGCAACGCTGTCGCGGACCCCAGCTTGGCTAGGACGCTGGCCGAGCTGGACGCGATCGAGGTCGACGAGGAGGCCGTAGCGATCGCCGTTGCCGCCGCCGCTGCTGCGGGGCCCGCCACGCTGCCGCCAGGGCTTCCGGCTCCTGGTGTTGGTTCTGCGAGGCCAGGTTTGCCGGCGCCGTCACCGTGGGAGTCCCTCATCGAGAACGAGATCTTGCAGCATTTCGAGCTCGTGCAGGCTGCGCGGAGTGTGCACGGTCCGATGGTCGCCCCGCGTTCCCTCGACTCCCGGGCAGAGTTCGCGAACACCCTCCGGTTGCTCGCCTACGCCCCCTCGGCCGCTGACGCCTGGAACGTCCTCGGTCTTTCTTCGCTGGAGGGCCCAGACCTGTCGCTGAACACCATCGAGGCCCGCCTCCGCTTCGCGAAGCTCTTGGGCTCCATGATCGACGGCGCGACGTGGCCGCAGGCGGACAAGACCACCGCCCAGCAGGACATCCAGTCCATCGAGGCGGCCGCGGCGACCTGCTTCGCATAGTTCGACACGTGGGTCCGCGAGCGCAAGCGGATGCGGCCGTCCAAACTTCCGCCCTGGCGGGAGTTAGGCGGCCAAGCACTCAAGGCTGTTCTGGGCACCGCCCCGCGCAACACAGAGGTCGCATGTACGCAGTGGTCCTCCTTATTGGACATATCCGCGATCGACGCGTCACTCCGGGGACGCGTGGCGCCGGTGGACGAAGCCCGCTTGCTCGCCGACCTGGCGGAGAAAGGGGGCGCCAGCTTCTGGGACACCGTGCAGACCACCGGGAGGCCCATCTCATTCTGGGCGCCCGCGAACGCCGCTGCCCTCGGTCGCCTCCTGTCCGCGCTGTTGCGACGCAGCACGGACCGCGTACCATGCGAGTACGTCCGCATCATCGCGCCGCTCGACCTCTTCCCGGGCTGCGCCACTGTCGAGAGCATCTGCGACCTGTGGTGGCACGACCTCCTGGGCGAGAAATGGACCGCCCTCCGCCGTCGCGTCGACTTCCACCCGCAGCCGATGGAGTTCGTCTCCCCTGGTCCGGCGGGTCCGCGGCACGAACTTCGAGGGCTGGCGGTCTTCACGATATCCACCTCTCTTGTCCGCGAGCCCCCGAAGATCCTGGACTTGGAGTCCCCGGTTGTCACGGCCGCGCCTTTGCCCACCTATCTCGTGGACTTCCCGTCGACCCTGGGGGCGGAGGTCATGACCGTCCTGTGCAACCACCTCGGCCACTCCCCCAAGATCGGGAGGATCTATCGCAGCCCAGGCCACACGGCCGAGTCCCCCAGGGGGCGGGTCGAGGTACGCTTCACCTCCACCACGTCGCGCCTCAATCAGGAGGCGGTGATGCGCCACGCCCGCCAGATTCTTCCCACGGGCGTGCGTTTCGCTTCCCAGGACCTCTACACGGAGCCGGGCTCCCTCATCGCGGAGTTGGGCCACGCGGACGTGATCGCGTCGATTTGGGCACTCTGCTCTGGAGCCCTCTTCTTGAGCAAGTCCACCCTCCTCCTCACGACGGAGGCCACCGCCAGCACGTGGCAGCAGGCCATGGATACCCTGATGCGGAATGACCCGGATTCGGCAGTCTACAAGCTGAAATGGCGTCCGTCGCGCCACGGCGGGCGGCCATTTGCTTCGCCCCCGGCGCTTCCCGCGAGGATTGCGGCTACGCGTCGGACAAAGCAGACCCGCGGGACCACCTCGACGGTCCAGGCCATCACGGACGTCGAGATCAAGGGCCACCTCCACGCCGACGAGCACGCGCTAATCCGGGACCTCGTCACTCACCTGGTCGGCCAGACGGGAATCTCGCTGACCGAGCTGCAGGAGGACCGCGGGCGCCGGGCAGGCAAGTGGCAATGGCTGGCCGCCGATGACCCCGCAGCACCACCCGGCCGCTTCCGCCTATACCTGAAGGACTTGGAGGAGGTGGCCAAGGTCCGGGACACGCTGCACGACAAGGCGGTGAAGGTGGGCATGGACACGTTCCGCGTGCAGGTGTTCAACGACCTGGAGGATCGGGTGTCGGGCGCCGCCGCCGCCCGTTGACTATCCACCGAGCCGGCGATCGCCTGGGCCATCACAAGCTCAGGCTGCATGACCTACATGCTCGACGTCGCGTTACGCCTGCTGGACGGCTGCCCGTCCACCAGCCGTGGCGCCAAC